TTAGCTTTATTTAATTATTAATTTAGCTATTAATTATAGTTTTAGATTCTTAACAGTGCTTAAATCTTTTAATTATTCTGGGAATTACTAGTATAACAGTCTTATTTAGTAATAAGATTTTACTAGAGAAAATACTACTCCTATAATTCCTAAAAAAAGTCTGTATAAAATATATTAAGATATAGTTAATAAATATTATACTAAAGGGATAAATCTAATATATTCTAGATTATAATTAGTTAATTAAAAAGGTCTAAAAGATTAATATTACAGATATATTAAAAAACTTCCTTAATAAATATATAAAATATTTTACTTTTAGTAATATTTATAAATATATAATATAAAGTTTAAAGCTTAAGCTAAGCTTTTAAAAATTTACTTTAAAATAATAATATAAAAATATAAGCTAGCTATTATAAACTATCTAAATATATAATTAATTTTTTTTAATTTCAGATAGCTCAGAGATAAACTAGATAAAAGCTATATTTTATATATATAACTATATATTTGCTTTAATAGCCGCTTCACCCTTATAGATTAAAATATTAATAATTTAATTATAGAAAATATTTATATTATTATAAATAATTATATTATAAGAAAATCAAAAAAATCTGTTATTTTAGAAATTAGACTAAAATAAGCTAACTTTGTCTGCTTTTTAATAATTATTTTATATATTATTATTATTCCTGCGGTTTTTTTTATTATTTTAATTATCCTTGTTTTCTTTATTATCTTTAAGTATTAGGCGGTTCTCCAGAAATATTAATTTATTATATTACCTAGTAAGTAAGTAATAAAACTTTATAAGATTATTTTATATAATATTATATTTAGTTTATATAACTTTTTATTCTTAAAAAATCTATATAAATATATTTTTTATCTCTGCTAATTCGGTAGCTAGACCGGGAGTCTAAGATATAATAAGCGGTATAATAGGTTCTAGTATAATATTATATATAAAGTTAAATATTTATTAATTAAACTTATACTCAGTATTAGAAATTAATAATCCTTTTATAAAAAAAATAATTATATTAAGATTAATAGGATCAGGATCAGGAGCTAATATAGATATAAAATCTTATAATACTAGTTTTAAATTTAATAAATTAAATAAATAATATCTGGTAGTATTAAGATATTTATTAATATTTTTTATTTTTATTTTATATATTAGTTTAATAGTAGCCAGTAAAATAACTGTGTTAAAACTCCTAGGAATTATAAGAATCTTAGATTTATTATTTTTATTATTATTATTTTTTTTATTTTAATTATAACTTTTCTTCTCAGTATAGGAAATAACATATAATAAATAACTAATTATATTAATAAAATCTGATAATAAAGTTATAAATATAATTTATAATATAAATATAATAAAAGATCTCTCTAAAAATAATTAATTAATAAAATAATTATTTTACTAGTTCTGAAATACTTAATCAGTAAATAAAAATATTAAGATTTTAATAAATTCTTTAATAATATACCTTATAAAAGGATAATTAATATTTTAATCAGAAAAATATATAAATTAGTATTTTAACAGAGGTGAAAAAGTTATAGTAATAAATTAAATATATTAAATAATATATATGTCAATATTGTCAACAAAGTAAAATAATAAAATATAATAATATATATAAATTTAATAGGCGAGCTCAGCAAGCTTTTTTGATATTAAAAATAATAAGATTAAATAAAAAAAACTAAATAAAAAAGACTAAAAAAACTAAAAGTAATAAACAATAATATAATAAACCTGAGATAGTTAAAAGAGAAGTCTTTAAATATTATAAACTCCGGGAATAAAGCTGTCAAAAACAAAAAATAATAATATTAAGAAGATAATATTAAACAGATAATTATTATTAATATAAAATAAAAAAAATTCAGATAAAACTAAATATATTATTATATAATAGTTTATTACTGGATTAATAAAAATAGTAAGATTATTTATTTAAAATAACTAAGTCCTCTGCCTTGTGGAGGCGGGAGCTACAGAACACCGCTAACACCTGCATTGCAGGATTACAGGATGCTGTTAAGACCAGAGGCACAGAACACACAATAAAGAACAGTACAACAAAAGGCATACCTTTTTATTAAAAAAAAGGATTATTAATCTTTTTTATTATTAAAAGTCTTACTTTATTAAAGATTATATTTATAAATAGTTTTTTATTTCTCTAGGGATAGTAATTGCGGGAGTAATATTTTTTTTTATAAATAAAATAATATTTTTTTTATTTAAGTATTTTTTTTCTCTTCTGAAGGCCTGCTATTTAAAATAATAATTTTTTTAAAAATACTTATATTTTATATGTAATGTGCCGCTGCCCTAAGAAGTAGGAAAATTATTTTATAATGATTTTTTTTTCCGAGAGGAATTTCTTCCTTAAAAGAAATACTTATTTTTATAGAATAATCTACCGTGTAACTGTAGTATTTAATAAAATTTCTTATTTTATTTTACTAATTATTTATATTATTCCGCCAGAGCACCTGCTTTAATAAGATTTTTTAATTTTTTATTAGTTAATAATTTAGGGGCTTACTTAATATTTTTGTAAAAGTTTAACTATAATATTTTAAAAAAATAATTAATAAAAAATTAGTTAATATTCTTTTATATAAACTCTATAAGAAGAATATATTTACTTAATATAGCTTAAACTAATTAGTTAGGGCCTTATTTTAATTAAATAAAGTTATAAGTATAAGTTTATTTCTAATTTTTTTTCTATTTATTTTATTAAAAAAATCTTTAAAATATATTAAATATTATAAGTCCCGGAGAGGTTCTAATAGGTATGTCTTTATATATAAGACTTTTATTTTTTTCTCGGAAAAAAATAGGGTTTACTCTTAAAATAGTATTTTAAATTTTAAATAAAAATTATATATTAATATAGATTTTTACCTCTGAAGATCTCTAGGTTCTTAAATTTAAGATTTTTTTATTTTTTTAAGGTCTTTATTATTATGACTAGTATATTAGAAATTATTTATATTGGTAAAAAAACTATAGGCTATTTATTAGTTTTCTAATAATTAAAGAACTGCTTAAAATAATAGTTTTTAAGTATTTAGATAAAAGAAAGATTATTGTTTAATATAAAAAGTTAAATTACTTTTTTTAAAGTAGAAGGGAGGTTATTTAAAAATATTTAATAAATATAATATCTTTATTTATTATAAGATCGCCCGCGTATAAATATAATAATACTAAGGCAGGAATAAAGTAATTAAAACTATAAGGGATAATTATAAAAGTTTTATTCTAAGTACTTAGTTTTTTTAAATAAATATACTAAGGAGTTTAGGATATTTATAATATACCTGTAGACTACTTATTATACACTAAGAAATATAAAAAGTTAAGAAATAAATATATGTCAGATGAAATGCTAACCCGGGCTCATAACTGTCAGATGGGGTAGGTAGGTCACGTGGGTTGAATAGAAATTTCAAATGGCTTGATAGAATAAAGAAAATCGATCAGTCAGATGAAGTAAACAGTTCACCTGGACCACCTAGATCTGAAATAGATAAACCAGAGGTCCTACCATTCGCTATGCATGTAGATAGGTGAAATTGATTGAATGAATGAATGAAATTTAATTAAATGAATTAAGTGGGTAAATTAACTTGATGAAAAGAATAAATCAATACAGATCATTAATTGTATATTTATAGACAATTAAATTAGGGCTAATTTAATCTGGCCTTAAGTAAATATTATAAATATAAAATCATCAGATCTTTCTAGGCCTTTATCTGTGAGTTATATTATTAATCTAGGCCTTTAAGATTAACCTCATAGATTATTATTAGATTAATATTTAATTATTTAAATAATTAAATAATTAAGATTTTATGATCAGAATAATTAGAATAATCGAGATTTAATATATAAATCATAATGAAATTATTTAAATAATATCAGAATGACCAGGGTAGCAATATTCACTTTATAGTTTATAAAATAAATAGGCGAGACATTCTGGACCCTTTATATTAATTATCTGAACAAAGCCATTAATTATAATAGTTAAAATAAACTTTTAATTTCCTTAATAGGAAATTCATTAAATTATATTTTCTGACTTTTATAGGATTCTAGCAACCGGTGATTTCCTAATTAAGAAAATAAGCTAGTCTAAAATAGGAAATTCTTCAGAGATTTTTCTTTTTTATTTTCTGCTTATATTAAGCTTAGTTTTACCTCACTTTTCCTATACAATTTAGTGGTGGAAGTGAGAGTTTAATAAAGTGAAAGTAAAGTCGTAGTAAATTTTGAATAATTTCAGTTATAGGGCGAGATCAGATGATTCTGATGAATCAGGTAATATCAGGTAATCTTAATTAACACACCCCTTTAGTTTTAAATCAATAAAAGTATTGATTAAAACTATAAATATTAAATGATTAATTATTTAATAAGATGTTCAATATTAACCATATTTAGTTATTCAGTAAATTTTGTATATTCTTACTTAGTCAGGCATTTGGTAAGGCCGTCTGTAATTATTTAATTAATAGGGACTTATTTTAATTTAATAGATTTCTTCTTAATTTCTTGCCTGAGCCAATAATTACTAATATTTATATATTTTAATTTAGTTTTATAAATTAAATTAGGCTTAGTAAGCAGGTTAATTATTTATTAATTATTATAATAAATATATAGTTTTTCTTTAGGGTTAAACCCTATAGTAGTAAATAAGTGTTTTTACTATAAAAAATATTTACTAGCCATAATTAAAGCTAATAATTCTGCTTTAGTAGTAAATAGTGTAATTATTTTTTATTTTTTAGCTAACCAATTAATAGGTCTGCTAAATAAGCAGTATATAAACCCTTCAGATAACTTTTTTTACAATAAATCTGTATAAGCTACATTATTAGCTATTTTTAAAAATTAGTAGTGATTTTAATTAATCTATTAAATTAAGACTATATTAAATTAAATTAAATCAGGTTCTATAAATAAATAAAATCAGGTGATTTACTATATTCATATAATTTAAATAAGGTTTGGCCATATATTCTGCAAGGATTTCGTAATTTTTTACAATATCTGGCCTAGAAATAACTACGGGATATAGAACTGAGCCAATTTTCTTTTAATAATCCAGATAATAGGGCTTAATAAGTAGTTATCCTATAAATTCGCTTAAATTACCAGATAGTAGGGGTATTTTAGGTAAATTCTAATTAGCTAATTTAAAGCGGTAAGCAACTTTTTTAATATAGTCTGCTTAATTAAGCTAAATTATTCGATTTTACTGGTTTCAAATAACCTTTATATTTAAGAATTAGTGAATTTCACCTAAATCCTTCAGATTATATATCAAAAATAATTAATTTTTTAATTTGTTAATTTTCAATTAATGATTTTAATTATATAATAGAATAATATTATCTATATAAATCATCAAAATCATATAATCATTTATAAATAGGCAGGGATCTTTAGGCACTGATTTTAGGCCTAACTTTTATAAAGTATTCCCTATTTCGCGTTGCCATAGTAATAGGGATTAGTATAGTTTATATAAAGCTTGTTTTAGTTTAAAAACCTTATTTTGTTAACTAAATCCAGGAGATGGTAAAACATGAATTAATTTATTTAATTCACTGTTTAGAAATGTATTTACTATATCTTATTAAGCTCTTTCAAGGTCAAAAGCAGCAATTAGGGCTATAATAGTCCTAAATATTTATATGGCTAAGGTAATGGCCCTAGAATTAAGATTATTAATTAATTAAAGGTCTCCGTGAATGTATATTCTTGTTTTAAATTTTAATAATTAATCTTAATTAATAAATTTATATTTTTATACCCATTTTAATAGTAAAATCTTTTAAATTAAATTATCTGTTTTAGGAATAGCTTCCCAGGTGTTCATTTTAGTTAATTAATTATATTTAATTTTATATATATTTAGCTATTCATTACGAAAGGGCGAATTCATCATTTTATTCTAATTAGTTGGCTTAATAGGTAAATTATTTCGATATAATTTATTATTGCTAATTTAAGCTAATACAAAATTTTAAGATAATTTTAAAGATCCTGGGTCAGGTGATTCTAACCTATTTCTTTTTAGGGATAATAATTTATGAAAATTGTTATAATTATTAAACTTAAATAGTAAATTATTAATAATAACTTCAGGTGATTAAAAATACAGGGTAGGAGGTTAATCTCCTAAAATCTTATTACTTTAAGTATTTAATTAAATTAGATTATTTTGATTATTTAATTTAATAATTTAATTTTTATGTTCGGGCTTATAGTAAATAGGATTATATTCATTAGATAATTCTGATTTACTTTATTTAGGTTCAGAATAAATATCATTAATAATTTTATTCTTAGTAAACCCTAATTTAGTAGTTTCAGGTAAATCAATCAAAATTAAAGAGATTAAATTATTAATTTTTTTAAAACTGAGCGGTTCGGGGTTTTCTAACCTAATTAGGTCTAATTTAAATATTTAAATATTTTATTTATCTTTATAGACCTTTATTTTATCAAAAATATAATTATGTGCTAAAATAACCTTATTTTAACTAGATATTTATATTCTCCATATATTTAGGGCAACATACCCTATCAGGTAGCTAATCAGAGCTCTCGGTTTAAGCTTACTAAGCCTAGGGATATTTAAAATCCTTATATAGGCTTGGCAACCATATTATTTTAGGTTAGAAAGGTTTAGTAGTGGTATTATATATAATAAAAGCTAATTAAGATGTTTAAATAAGGTTTTATACGGGGTACTCCACTTTAGTAAATAAGTAGGGGTGTAATTTAATATATATATTACTATATTTAATAATTCTGGCCATAAATATGGCAGTAATCCTAAATTAATAAATAAAATTTATATTTTTTATGTGATTAAAGCACCTGAACACTTTATAAATAGATTTTACTTAGATTACCTAATTAGGCTAGTACTACAGATTACCCCTTCAGATCTTGCGTAATTATAAAAATAAGCTAGATTTCTATTTTAATCTGAATAAAATCGTTTAATAGTTACATAATATTAACGTTTAATGAATTAAATTATTTCAATAATTAAATTATTTATGTAATCTTTTAATAAAATTATCTTAGCTATATAGAATTTTAAATAGGGGTAATATATATAGCTAATATATTGTTTTTAGTAGATTCCCTAATTCAAATAAATAAGGTCCTAATAAATGGTTTTAAATGGTTTAGTCCCTAATTAAATCGGAATTCGAGAAATTTAATGTTTTGAAATTAATAATTAATAAATCAGGCAATAATCTTCAGTTTTAGTCGATTTATCATTAATTTTTACTCTGTTAACTACTAAATCAAGGTGTTTTAGGGCTTTAGAGCTCGGGTGCCCTAATCTTGAATACCATAGTTCAGCTATTCTATAAGAAATAACTAGTTTATTTAAATTTCTTGTTAAATAAGCCTCTAATTTATTTACTTTAGTATTTAGTAGTAAATTCTATAGTAAATTCGGATAGTGAATATGATTATCTTCAGGAGTTAATTCAGGTAACTATTGAATTTAATCAGTAGTATTTTATTTAATCAAATAAATACCTGCAATTTCGAGGACTTTACAAATCAGGTAGTAATTAGGGCTTTTTAGGCACATAACCCTAAAATTAAGGTAAATACCCGATTGCTTTGCTTTTGAGGCAGATAAAATATTAATATAAAATTATAGAATATAGGTGTAATAATATAATTTAAATGCTGTTTTATTTTTATAGGGGTTTGAAAGTTTTAAATTAACTATTCTAAAACCTTTAATTAATATCTGTGTGTTTCCTATAGAGATTAATATAAGTGATTTATAATAATCACTGAATAATAATTGATTATTACAGATATAGGTATCTGCAGCAGTATTAAACGCCTAATTAGGACTAGCGTATTTTTCTCATCTTATTAAAGTTAAAGCCATTACAATTAAATCAGTTAAAAATTCATTATTTTAATTTATTGCTTAATTTATTGATTTTAAGCAATTTTTTATGGCTTTAAGTACTACACGAAATTTAGGATTCCTAGAGGCTCTATTAAATTATTAAACAGCCTTAGGATCATGTAACTAATTTTCTGGTTTTTTTAATAAATTATTAATATAAAAATATTAGTTAAATTCATAGTAGCCTTTATTAAAATCTGATTAATAGAGGCAGTTTTGTTCTTTTTTAAGAGTTCTAGGGTTAAACCTAGGGCTTAGGGTATTTTCTAAGATATCTTCTTTAAAGGTTGCTTGAGCGATTCGGCTTGGTTGATTTGAATATTTAAATATTAGGAATATTTTTATATAATCTCTGAATTATTTAGTCATATTAAAAAATGACAGTATTTTATTATATAATTTAATTTTATTATTTAATTTTTCGCTCTAATAATTTGTGAATATTAAATAAGACCCATAAATGGTTTTAATAAAATTATATTAAACTTGGTGTGGATTATTCACTTTGCTTATTTTAAATGATTTCGCTTTAGTATAGATGTTTTCCTATAATAAAATATATAAATTAATTGAATATTTATTCTGCAGATTTTTAAGCATATAATATTATTTAATAATATCGTGTTTTCTTGATTTATTAGTAGGAGCTAGTTTTGTTTAAAGGATCTGCAGTATATAATATGAGGTTTCTTTATCAGATACTAAAACCCTATTGGCTGATGATATTAAGTTCTTAATCAGAAGTAGAATTAAGGCTAAACCCTTATCCATATAATAATATTTTTAAAGCGCTAATTTATAATTATGTAAAAAATCTTAATAAAGCGCTCGATTATTTTAGGTTAAATTAATAATTAATCTAGCATTCTCATCAAAGTTATATAGTTCCGGGTAACTAGGCTGTACAGGTTAATCAGGCATAGTCATATGACTAAGATTAATAAATTCCCAAACATGTTTGCTTTTAGCAATTGTTTTAATCATGTTAAACTAGTATATCTAGTTATATAACTGGTTTAATTAAAAATTAAGCTTTGTATCCATAGTAATAAGCTTAAATAATCAGGATAATTCAAGTTAGTATTAACCTGAGTTTCACCTTATTTTCACCTGATTTTTACCTCACTTTTCTTATATAAATTGGTGGTAGAAGTGAGAGTTCAATAAATTGAAGGTAAAGTGAAAATAAACTAGGTGGATAGATGTCACCGGCGCTTATCTCAGCGCGGAACACGGAACAACTGGACCGCCGGAGGTCCGCAGGGTTGCCGAGGTATTCGGGAACCAATTCCCGCGAAACCCCTCATTAAAAGAGACCACCCGCTTGACCCCTAGGAGGTTAAGCAATCAATTCTATTTATTATATACCCGTCCCTTAACTCCTTGTATCTCTCAGCGCGTAGCAGGCGGTCCGCAGGCGTATCACAGGCATCCTGAACTCCTTGGTATATTTATTTAAGGGAACTAAGTACCCGGAACAGAACTTTTATAGCTGCCCCTTATAGTTTTAATTACTTCTTCTCCTACTTTACTGCTATTATATTTATATATAGATAATTTTGTGGGGAATAGAGATATTATATTTATTAAATATTTTTAAATAATCTTTTTTCTACCTTAAAGAAAGTAATTTAATCTTTTATATTAAATAATAACCTTTTTTTTATTTAAATGCTTAAAAACCATTATTCTAAATAGTCCTCTAGTTATTAAAAGGCTAGTAATTAGCCTGCGGTCTTTCCGCCGGTACAGATAACCCCTGATATGCTAGTAATACTAATAAAGACTTTAAAAAAAAATAAAAAAAAAATCTTAAACTTAAAAAACCAGAGGTTTTCAAGGATAAAAACTTATATTAATATATAATCTTTATCTAAAACTTAAAGTATTACTTCAGAAGTAAATCTTGCTCCTTTTTTTAAAAAAAAATAAAGATTTTATATATAAAAATACGCCTATTAGAATCTCTTAAAAACTTATAGTATTTAACACGCCTTGGGGATCTCCAGGGAGTAATATTTAAAGATTTTAAGACTTTTTTAATAAAATAAATAAAAAAAAAAAAAAAAACTAGAGATAAATCTATACTTATAATTTTACTTAACTAAGGCAGGGCCCTAATTAACCTGTTTAAA